AGGCTAAAGGTCCGTTTAAACCACCCTCGCTGCTTGTGTAGCCTATTGTTTAATGATGAGGTGAAACGAAGGCCGTTATTATTGTTTTCCCCCAAATCCTCGTTCAAAATCAGGGATTCTCATTAAGTATTGCATTCCAGCATGAAATCTGTCCTGCATTTTTTTTGCTGCGGCTGATTTGTGTAGGAGAGGTGTGCTATTGCTTTTCTAAGACATCAGACGTGAAATCTATTCAGTGCAGGAAATAAAGAGACTTATCTATTTCTAGAGACCAGAATATCATCCTAGTGTCTTTTGCACAGACGAGCAGCAATCGCGCTGTGCACAACATGCAAAAATCTAGTTCCCGTTGTCGTTTCGAGTAGAGTTAGTTGTTCCCTGTTGCTTTGTATGCAGATCATCTTTATGGTGGGGAGAGGCTATCTGACCCCTGACCTCAGTAAACTCTACAAGAGCTGTCCTAAAGCCATGAAGAGACTCGTCGCCGACTGCATCCAGAAGTCCAAAGACGACAGACCGCTGTTTCCGCAGGTAACGTCGCTTACAATCCAGTGTAATCGCTTTCATTACTGTCAGAGGAAAACATTACATTATCACCTATTTCATGACAATTAAGCACATTGTTTCCCGCAAATTATTCTGATTGATGATTCTCTTTACTCTAGAACAATATTTTTAAACTATATATATATACATATATATTACATAATATAGTGTTTATGTTCTTAAAAAACTATTATAAATGTACAACAATAAATATTTACACTTTACAACTTTAAACTGAAAAAAACAGCCATTTATTGAAATGAAATGTGTAGTATTTGCCCAAAACAGATGAAAAATAGATTTGCAACAGCTTGAATATAATGTCCTATGGTAATAATAACTGTAAATATTTTGTTAATAATAATGCATTTTGTGTTTATTGTTGTAGTCGAATGCTCAGTTAGTTATTAATAATGTGTCAAAAAGCAGAAATAATTAAAATATTGTTCTGCATGCCAGTTATCAGAATGAAATAATCTGTATCAGTGTCATAAAACGGCAATATCTGTTGATCTAAAATCTTCAATGTAAATAATATATTATTTTACAATTCAGTGTCTTAACTGTAAATAGTGTCATAATGCAAAAAAAACAAAAAAAAATGTCGTAATGCAAAGACCTTGATGTCCTAAAATAGTTATTAATATTATTTTCAGTTTCTGAATAATTATGGCATGGTAGTGTTCTCGTTTTGGTGGATTCGCCGCCTTGTCGCTGTGCGTTTGACCCAAAATTGAGTAGGATCTACGCTGTAAAAATTATTTTTTTGTAAGATTATTGGAGCATGCTTTACAATTTCAGTTTTTCAGTTTCTTCTGTTTAATTCAATGCGTTAATTGCCGTTTCTTTGTAATTGTTTGTGAAATTTACTAGCAATTTTTAAGTGAAAGTTGTAAATCCAGCACCTTTTTTTTTTCAGTGTAATTTGGCCACTTTATGATGTGTCGATTTATTGATTATGAACTGTAGCTGTTGGTTATTAAAGCAATAAGCCCCGTGAAGCCGTGGTTTACAGTGAATTTATAACAGCTAAGGGGCATGTTAGGTACGAGTGTCTAAAACCCTCTTAGCTGTTATAAATTCACTGTAAACCATGGCTTCTTGGGAGTTATTGCTTTTATAAACCGGTTATTCCATATACGTAGCAAGGTTTCACAAAATAAAACAGAGCAAATAAAGTGTAATGATATTAATAAAAACGGTATTCTTCCACCAAACAATGTAGTTCCTCAGAAACAGTTGTGGTTCCAACAAAGTGGTTGCCGAGCAACACACAGAAGTAAACAAAGGTGTATGTTTGTAGAGTCATTTACAACAGCTTCGAACGCAGCTCAACCAATCAGAATCAAGCACCGGAACTATACGCTTTATAATAACCGTTAACTCGCGTGGATGGCAATTGGAAACCATTTTCATGCAGGGCTGTATAATGACAATGTGTTACTGCATTGGCATGATTTATGTTGGTGTCTTTTCTAGATCCTGTCCTCGATTGAGCTGCTCCAGCACTCGCTCCCCAAAATAAACCGCAGCGCGTCCGAGCCGTCGCTCCACAGGGCCGCGCACACCGAGGACATTAACGTCTGCACTCTGGCGCTTTCATCCGCCTTCAAGTGAAGAGGACGCACTGGCCACGAGTCTCATGTTAGAGCTGTGAACGTCCAGGAGTTATTTCTGTGCTTTGTTTAGTATATTCTGTGTGTTACCTTCAGTCGGCCGGTGCTTGAGCTGGCTGACTTCACTGAAGCTGCTCTCTCTTCTGCTCTGCTGGCGTTCGGTGCCCCAGGACCTGTTTGGAGGGGAGCAGCTAATAGCACTTTCTTCACGCAGCTCACACTTTGATTGATTGTGTCTGGCTGTACCATTACTCCGGACGATCACTCTGAGGGGTTTCTCATCAACCATGCAATCATGTGTGTCTGAAACGAGAGGCTCGACATGGAGCCGGTTGTGTTTTTATATCGGACGCCATCTAAATGCCTCCTTAGCACAAGCTATAGGGAGCACTTTATGATCTCGAGTCTATAGATGTCTCTTTGACTTTGTGTATGTTATGAAAATCAAAGAAAGAAGAGTGGGTATTAACTTTATTATGAGACTTGTTAGGGATTCGTATTTCTTTCGGCTTTTAGTGCTCGTCATGGAGAATTAACTTGTGAACTTGACAGATTGTTTATTCATTGTATTTTAATAAAATTAAGTTAAATACACCACACAAGATTTGTGCTTAGTATGAAGCTTTGAGTAGTTTGTGTTTATGAACCAGCAGCAGCAATAACGTTATACAAGATGACCGTATTCAATGATTAAGGACTAGTTCACACAAAAATGAAAACTTGCTGAAAATGTACTCAGTCCATATAAGATTATGAGTTTGTTTCTTCATCAGGTTTGGAGAAATGTAGCATTGCATCAGTGTCTCAGCAATGGATGCTCTGCAGTGAATGGGTGCCATCAGAATGAGAGTCCAAACAGCTGATAAAAACATCACAATAATCCACAAGTAATCCATACCACTCCAGTCCATCAGTTAACATCTGGAGAAGACAAAAGCTGAAACTAATCCAGCATTAACACGCTTTTAACTAAAATGCCATAGAGCCCATAATCCTTAAAATTGTTTTCCGTTTCTTTAAAGAAAAATCAGTTGTTGGTCTGAATGCATGCTGATATTTAGTACTCTTGCTCGTGTGAAACTACCTGAATACAATTACAATGATTTCAACTCTCGTGTCTAGTGATGTAGCTCATTAGCGTAGAAGACTGTGGATGATATTGCTGATATGAATATGAATGTCATAAGATGTTCAGCCACAGGCGTTGAGTGTGTTTCGGCTGTACACATGGCTCATTCAGAACCAGAGCAATTTAAATGCATAATTTGGGTTTTGTGGGTTAAATAATATGACATGACCTGACAGAGCCTTTTTTTTTTACACAACAGATCAGTGCTGCAAAGACACAATTGTGCATTTAACATCACATATTGGCTTGTCAAAATGTTACTTTATTAAAGATGTTAAAAATCAATTGCGAACAGCACATCCTGAATATGGTACAAATAAAGGTTTCATTACTTTGCATGGTAGAGAAACTAATTCAAATTAACATTGCATAAAAAGTCGTTTTTCTGAATTGCTAAAACACATTTCTTGAAACCATCACTCATTTTCTCAAAACCTTAAACACTAATCCAAACCTTCAAACTAAATTCACAGAACCCCTGACTCTTCTGGCAAAATCAAACAATCGCTTCAAAACCATTCCACCTGTACTCAAAATCAAACAAAGCTTTCAAATCATACACACATTAGTCAATAATATACACTCTACAGATCATTCATTAGACACTACATCAAAAAAATGGAGAACACAGTTGCATAGTTACAAAAAAAAAAAACTTTATTGTATATAGTAAATATTTTGCAATAACACACACAAAGAAATCACACCTAGGTTTGGCGAATATACCAAAAAAAGTTGTTACTCTCAAAAAGGATATTTAGAAACAAGTGTGAACAGTTTTGAAGTATTGTGTGTAAATGATGACAACCGTGTTGCAGTTGTGCTTAACCTTTGCTTTCTTGTGTTTAGGGTTTTGCAACACAAGTTTATTACGGTGCAAAATGTGTTTGAGTGAGCGAGAATGTGTTTAGAGTTTTGCAAAAAAGAGTGCATGAGATCTGCAAACAGTGTCTAAACTGCCAGAACGTGTTTAAGGTTTTTGCAGAAAGAGTGCTTTATTACACAAATTGGTTTAGGCCAGTGAGACTTCGGTTCAGAGAAGGGGTTTAGTGTCTTTGCAAATGTGAAAAACTGTAATACATGAAATGTGTGATTTGGCCATCAGTGGTCTTCTTGACTAACAAAATAACTAAACGTCTTGATTTGGACATAGCTGCTAAAACAATTTCTCTTCAATAAATAAATACAATTATTAAAAAATCAAACACAAATTAAATCGAAAATAAAATGAGTGAAATTAAGTCATGTTTATTTCAAACATAAATGACTAATTCAATAATACTTCAATTTGAATAAGTGGCGCTAAGATGCTTTTTATTTCAGTGTTTTCGGTTTATCACAGACATCGTCTCATTTAAATGAGATGAAAGCTTATTCTTAATTGTGGGAGTCAGTGGTTTATATCTGACTGACATAATAGCACTTTTTTATTTTAAATTATGTATTTTTTCAACTGGTCTTCAAACCTCAAGATTTTAGATAATTATTTCTTTTGAAACCGTGTAGTCAGAACTCTAAACAAGGTTTCATAAAAAAAACAATCACCAAAATGAGTGCTTTTAAATATCTGTTCATGACCAATTAATTTTCACAATTCCACACAAATTGTAGAGTTTACTGCATTCTTAAATTCAATGCTTCAATCTTTAAGAAATTAGTTTAAGACATTTTTTCATCAGAGTACTAACGTTTCTATTACAAACACATATTTAAACCTGCTGAGGTGAATGAACATTTTTTATGAAGGTGAAGCAGCTCCTAGTGAGTGAGTGAGTGTGTGTGTGTGTGTGTGAGTGAGTGAGTGAGTGTGTGGCTGTTACCCGCACGTTCCCCTCTGCGCTCAGCTGTTTGCGGGGTTTGTCTGGTTCTGCTCGTGTCCCGTCAGCGTACGCATGCATGTAGAAACACTTCCCTCCAAACGGACACGTTCCTCTGCCCTGGTCGAAGTATTTACAGGGCTTCTTACTGCGAATACAGAAACACATTCAAGCAGATGACCACAAATCCTACAAATAACGAACAAACATGGGTTTGAACCGTCAAAGAAATCCGTCTGCATTCTGCCAATATGATATAAAGATAAATAAATAAATGGAGGGATGGATGAAAACAGCTCCCAGCTACTGGTCTGAATGCAGATCAAAGGCAGATGAAAGGCATTATGGGAAGACCCCAAACATTTAACCTTTACCCTCATATTCTATTGATTTCTGATTCAGCTGCTCTTTAAAGTGAGGCGGATAGCCCCTGATCTGGGAGGCTTTAGTGAAGGCTAAAGCTAAAACATGAGCGCTGAAGAGATGAGGAGAGGAAACCAGAACGCAGAATTTAAGACAGAAGAACGGGCCAAAAATCACTGCATTATCATCTGATTCATTCATCATATTACCGGATTCTTATTGTGGTTTACTAAAACCAAAGCAATAAAAAAACAAATTACATTTAAATAAATAAATAGTTTTTTTTTTTCCCCAGGTAGTGTCCAAGGCAGCTTTTCTCATTTTCAATTAGTTTAACTTGATGTACTGAAATGACAAAAACTGAAAATATATATATATTTTAAATATACATACACACACACAAACAAACAAAACAATACGTTTCCAGTTAACTATATTTAATGCATTAACTAACAATGAGCAATACATTTCTTACAGTATTTTTTAAATGTTTGTTAACATTACTTAATAAAAATATAGCTCATGTCCATTAAATAACATTATTACACATTTCAATTTCTGGAGGGCCGGAGCCAACGCTGCTCCAACACACAAACCATGTAGTTTTCAAATAAGCCTGAAGCACTTGACTAGCTGGATCAGGTGTGTTTAATTAGGGTTGAATCTAACCTCTGCAGGACCCCGGCCCTCCAGAAACTGAGTTTGTCACCCCTGCTGTAATGGATTATAAGATAACTAACAAACTGGTAAGATTTTAAACAGTTTTGTCTTAAATCAGTATCTTTTATCGCCATAATTATTTATGTATCCCTTAATGTCCGTCTAAATTGAACTCGCAGCTTGTTAGCAACTGCTGTCTTTACAGAAGCTTTGCGTTCAAATATTTCAACTCAGATCAATATTTCCTGTCTAATTATTTACTTCTGTGGCAAGTAGCCGTGTAATAAGCGGGATAATGTACATCCAGCCGGTTGTTATCGCTGAATAACCCCCGACAGTGATCAGGACTGCGACGCGAAGCTCACTTAGATGTATTTTTGATTTTAATAATATATTAGTAAATGTTAGAATCAACATTAACTAAGATTAATAAATGCTTTAGAAGTATCTTTCATGTTAACTAATATAGTTATCTAATGTTACCAAACGGAACCTTACTGTAAAGTGTTGCCAAATATAAAACTTCACCTAAAATTTAAATGAAAATGGATTCAGCTTTCAGACGATGTATACATCTCAATTTCGAAAAATCGACCCTTATGACTGGTTTTGTGCTCCAGGGTCACATATAAAAATAAAAAATTATAATTATTAATAAAAAACCTATAATAGAATCTCAATGATACTAACATTGACACCTTTTGTTCAAAATGCATAGATAAAAATAAAAACTCAATGCAAAACATGCTGTTTTTCTAAAAATAAAAATAGAAATGCAGTGCCTTTTGGGTAGCTTGCCAGTTATTTTGTAAACCTGCAACAGAACAAAGTGGTTTCTGAAGTGGGAAGCGGTTTTATTCCCACCTGACTCCAGACTTGAACTCCTCAATGAGACGGTTCTTCTCCTCCTGGTCTTCCACCCAGTACACGCTGGGTATGACGAACTCCGACACCACGCGGCACTCGGGACAGGACCTGCAGGCAATCAGCTCAGGTTACTGCTCAGCGCTCCCCCAGGGCTGAGATCAGAGCGGCTCTGGACTCACTTGCGGATCTGGTTCTGGAACTGCTCGGCGCAGCGCCACTGCCGGATGCAGCTCAAGCAGTACGAGTGGCAGCAGCTGGAGAGGATGCCAAAGCGCCGCTCCGACGGAGACGTCTTCTCATACACCACATCCAGACAGATCTTACACTGCTTGTCCTGACTCTGCTGCACTGCAAACGCTCTCTCCATGTCCAGCTCGAAGGCCGTCATGCACATCTGGGGCAGACAGCAGCGCCATTTTCAACAAAGAATTTTTTTAGTTCAATTTTCCAAATTATTTTTTAAACCATGTGTTAAAACAAACGCAACTAGTTTTGAGAGAAATCACAATATTTCAACGTTTGATCAAGTCAAACAATGTATGATAATTAGAAAGCATTGCAGGGAAGCTGCAAGCACACTGAAAATTATGAGAATGAACTATGACAGAATTAGCATAAAACATAACTAAATTTACTTAATACTTAAATAAATACACATATATATATATGTGACCCTGGAGCACAAAACCAGTCATAAGGGTCGATTTTTCCAAAATTTAGATTTATGCATCATCTGAAAGCTGAATAAATAATCTTTCCATGGTTTGTTAGGATAGGACAATATTTGGCTGAGATACAACTATTTGAAAATCTGGAATCTGAGGGTGCAAAAAAATCTAAATATTGAGAAAATCGCCTTTAAAGTTGTTCAAATTAAGTTCTTGTAGGACATTTACAAAATATCTTCATGGAACATGATCTTTACTTAATATCCTAATGATTTTTGTCATAAAAGAAAAATCAATAATTTTGAGCCATACAATGTATTGTTGGCTATTGCTACAAATATACCCCAGCGACTTAACACTGCTTTTGTGCTCCAGGGTCACATATATATATTAATTTGTATTACTGTATTTTTACCATTCTTGTACAAATATATATATATATTTTTTTACCATAGTGTTCAAAATGTATTTTTACCATTCTGGCAGTTTTACTGTATTTTTTTTCTTGGACCTTTTTATAGCTTTATGGCTTATTTAGATGATAAAAACACTGTAATGTCTCTGTACCATAAATATATTAATCGTTTTGTTTTGACACATTTACTGTGTAAACACGGTCAAAAAAAAAACTTGTGTGACATTCCTTAAAAATGTTGTTTTATTAAATTGTATTAATTTACTCATTTATTTCCGTCATAACATCCTCGACCTTTATTTTGGCGAGTTGAAGACCTTTGAGTTTCTGTGTTTCAATAAATTGTATTTACTATTATTAATCATCTTATTTGACCCTCTAACTCTAGCACTCTCTATTCTAACTGTACTTGATCTACTTGTTTCTTTATTAATCTTTATTTATTAAAAAGCACTCCACCCTCTAACTCTAGCACTCTGTATTCTAATCTAAATACTCTTGCTAGGCTGTCACAGCACTGATATATCATTGCTCTTATGTTGGTTTCGATTGCTTCTGGTCCTCATTTGTAAGTCGCTTTGGATAAAAGCATCTGTTAAATCATTAAATGTAAAATAGAAATGTGAGCACAAATCGGCCCATTTCTCCATGGATTTATTTATTTATTTTCTTCAGCTGTTGCACTCAACATGCTGTTTTTTTAAAAGCTGAATGAAATGGATGAGAGTCAGGGTGTGCTGTAGGTTCAGTCACCTTCTCATGCGCTGCTCTTTGCTCAGGGTCGTGCGGATGCAAAACCTGCAGCCGGCATATTTCACACAGATCGCCGTGGAGATAGGGGCAGCTGTCGCCGTAGTGACACGGTCCCGCCGCCATGTACGGGCAGAGCTGCGGCTGCTGGCCCAGGTCGGGACACGGGTCGGCCGAACTCTCCAGGCCGGAGCGGATGGCATCCAGGTAAGAGTGAGGTTTGCCGTGAGCGCCGTCGTGCCAGCAGTCCCTCACACCGGGCCCCGCTCTGCTGTCAGAGCCCAGCGCTGAAACACAGCACACATCTTACTGTATCATCACCATCTTACTGTAATCTCAGGCGTGTGAACTGCACACACCTTTGTCTCTCAGCACCAGAGGTCTTTTGGCATGTTTGCTTGTGTTTGACGGGGGTCCGGGCCCCGGGGCCGACGCTCCTGCGCTGCTGCTGCTGCTCGGCTGCTCCGCCGATGGGCCGCTGCCACGGCTGACAGGCCTGACGTGATCATATCTGTCAGAAAACACACCGCACACTTCACATCTGAACTAGCAAACATGGGGATTCTTCAGTCAGGGCAACGGTCCTGCCCTCGTCCATGATTTTAAATAAATAAACATGTTTTGTTTTCTAGAAACATACATAACACATATATACATGTGTGTGTGTGCAAATATATACACTACCAGTCAAAAGTTTTTGAACAGTAAGATTTTGAAAAAAAAAAAGATCCAAAATACAGTAAAATTGTGAAATATTTTTACTATTTAAAATAACTGTTTTCTATGCGAATCTCTGTTAAACTGTAATTTATTTCTGTGACGCGCAGCTGTATTTTCAGCATCATTACTGCAGTCTTCAGTGTCACATGATCTTCAGAAATCATTCTAATATGCTGATTTGTTGCTCAAGAAAAAAAAAAATTATTATCATCAATATTTAAAACAGATGAGTACATTTTTTTCAGGATTCTTTGATGAACAGAAACATCCAAAGGTCAACATTTATATAAAATAAAAAACTTTTGTAACATTGTACACTATATCATTCAAAAGCTTGGAGTCAGTATCATTTTTTTGGGGGGTGAAATTATAGAAATGAATACTTTTATATAGAAAGGATGCTTTAAATTGATCAAAAGTGATGATAAAGACACTGATATTGTTACAAAAGATTTATATTTCAGATAAATGCTGTTCTTCTGAACTTTCTATTCATCCAAGAAACTAGGGGTGCTCCGGTTGATCGGCTAGAGGGGCAGAATAACAGCTTATTGATCATAAAATGTTAGTCTTTTTAAGATTGTGCATCTGCTTTATTAGGCAAGTGTGTGTAACTCAGTCACCTGCATCTGTCTCCATACGCACACACTCCTCTCTGGTAGTATTTACAGATGGTTGAAGGTTTGCTTGTGGCCAGATCATGAGAGAACATGCACCTGCTGCCCTCCCGACAGACCCCGTGCAGAAAATACCTGCAGACAGACACGAGACGAGAGCATCAGCACAAGCTGCAGCTGTGAGAGCTTCGCACATGCGGCGATCCAGCCGCACCATTTTCTCTCATGTGAAAGACATGATGATATTAGCAGTGACCTTATGAAACACAGCGATGCTTTAGCGGCTGTAACATGACGGTTTGGTGTTTCTCTTTACCTGCAGGTCACCTGTTTCGTTGACATGTTTTATCCGGCTACCAGTGTGATGTTTTTCTGTGAAATGTTACTGCCTCCACGGTTTTGTGCAACCTGAAAATATCACCGGCTACACCGCGACGACGCTGATCATTGCTTCCGCCTAGCGACTCGTTTCCGCGAATCGGTTCTTTCGAACGGTTCGTTTCACAAACCCAGTTCACAGAGTAAGCATGGAATCGGCTCAACTGATTCACTGTAGAGGTCCGACTCAGAAGAATGATTCGTGCTTCTTCCGCCTCAGTGATGAACTCAGATGACAAACCAGACACGTATTATGAAAGCTGTCGGAAATGAACGAATGAACTGAACCGGACAACTGAGCTGGAATCAGTTGGGATAAGTGATAGAATTTAAAAAAATAAAAAAATAAATAAAAGTATCGAAAAGTGGGACATTGTCGTGAAATAGCGTAAAAAGAGAGATATTTGGATTTCATTTTCGAAGTATTTAAATTGTATATTTGTCTAAGGTATGCTGCCGTCTTGAGGATTCGGGTTTCTTGCGCCCCCCGGTGGAGCGGGTTCGAGCTCACTGACGTCACCAGCGCGCTGAGAACGAAACCGACGCGAGATCAGCGTCAGAGCACGACAGGTAGCGCGAGACCAGGTGAGCGCTAATGGAGAGAGCCGTGATCAAATACAGGCACTGCGGAAGAAACATTCACCGTTTCTCAGCTCCAGACGCCTCATACTCTCCTCGAGCCGATGATTCACAGCGCAGGTGTCCGGTCTGTCAGCAGACTCTCGCATTTGGACTTTTAGACGCACCTGTTGCGCTTACCTGTCCGATTAGAAATGGACACACAGTCCCCTGTGCATTTCTGATAGGATCTATGCACGGACCATCACATCTTGGGTGAGTTTACGAGATTATATAATGATTCATAAAAGTTACATTTATTCAGCAAGGACGCATTAAACTGCCCAAAAGTGACAGGAAGGACAAAATATTGCAGTTTCATCAAAGAATCCTGAAAAATAAAATGCATAAAGCAGCACGGCTGTTTCCAACATCGACAATAATCAGAAATGTTTCTTGAGCAGCATATTATACTGATTTCTGAAGATCATGTGACACTGAAGACTGCAGTAATGATGCTGAAAATACAGCTGCGCATCACAGAAATACATTACAGTTTAATATATATTCACATAGAATACAGCTATTTTAAATTGTAATAATATTTCACAATTTTACTGTATTTTTGATCAAATAAATGTAGCCTTGGTGAGCAGAAAAGACTTCAAAAACATAAAAAATCTGAATTATTCCACGCTATTGGTTGGCAGTGAGTGTGTATATTATTGCTCTGTTTCTAACATTCTATATCATTTATTTATTTGTTCTCCAGAGAATGGCATGACACAGAGATTCACGTGGGACTCTCAAATTCAGAAGGTACGGCCCACCTGTAATTATTATGTTTATACACACACACAAGGAGTTTGCTTCCAGTGCAGAACAAAGTACAGACATATACAGAAATTAAAGCAATGAAGTAAACTATAACACAATAATACAAATGAAAAGTTATTGTCTGTTGTTTGTGCAGACGATAGCCGAGTTATGCTTGTTCAGCAGTGGTTTGTGTGTTTAGGTCTGGTCTATAACTACACCCTGTCAGGGGTCCGGAGAGACGTCCGCGGCTGGGAACAGTGTGTCAGCATACGGCTCTGCCCTCCGTGGAGACATGAGCTCAGGGAATCATGGGACAGAGAGCTGGAGCAGTTTTCTGCACTGCCAGAATGGGTCTCAGAGCGGTACAGCTACAGTCCTGTGCAATATCACTATCAGATGTTTCATATGTTATGTAATAATCATCAACATATGTGCATGCACCATGTTATTTTTTATTCTATTATAGTTCATATTTTGAATCAGTTTTTTTTTTTTTCATTTTTAGATTTTTTTTATGTCTGTATCATTTTTATTTATTATTATTTTAGTTTGTGCTATTTTGCATCAAGCTAAACTAAATGAAAATGATGCATGTAGCAAATTTTTTAAATTAGCATTTATTTAAAGTAACATGTTTTTATTGTTTTAATTTAGTTTTAGTTAACAATAATAAGTCTGGTAAAATCCCAGTCACAAAAACGGCCATAACTGCTCCCCTATGTTTTGTTCACCGGCAGGTTTGATGAGGAAAGGGAGTTTGGATCGTGCTGTTATGGTTTCGCTCTGACCTTCATTAACCACATGCGCTCGTTGGATGGGAAAGCATCTCTGAGCAGAGACCAGTTCACAGGATCTCACATTTTACCCAGAATGAAGACCGTGTCGCTATACATCAACATCTATCATGCAATATTACAACATGGATTTTACATCGCTAATACAGATCATGACATGTGATACACGCTTCTTCATAAAACACTATAGAAGTGCAATATATATAGAAAGCTGTCTCTACGGCAGAACCCTTTCAAGAGGTACTAATGCGTGCCTTTAAAGGGAAAGTTCACCCAAAAATGAAAGCTTGCTGTTAATGTACTCATCCTCAGGCCATCCTTAGGTGAGCTTTTTTCTTCAACAGTAAAGATTTTATGCTGAAACCGCGGTGCTGGATTTATAACATGCAAGTCCACGGCTGCCTTCACTTTGAGAGTCAAAACAAGCGACGCTAAATTAATACCTGTGGCTCCTGACGATATATTGAAGTCTTATCAAGCGAAACAATCAGTCTGTGCAAAAAAAATGTCTTCATAAATTATTGGCAAGCCTATGCACAGCTGTCAGCCCAGCGCCGCATTAACACCGCTGTCACTGTAGTGTGATGTGTTTACAGGATTCATTTACCACATGTGGCTCAGTTACTCATGACAGGTTGTAAACCTGTAAATGCAGGTTTTAAACAAAGACCTGGTTTTGAGTTGCAGTGACGCCCACTCCTATCAACTCAGAGAATTTGCATAGTTTACACTTTCCAAGCTATTACACATTGCATGCACTCTCTCAATTAACATCTGAATAGGCCTACATATAGATTTGCATACCACACTGCATAAAAATATATTTCTAAGCACCAATAAAACAGGATCACGTGTTTGTGCTTCAGTCGTGTGTGTGTGTGTGTGTCTGTTGGTGTTAGAGCTCATATACAATCACATTTAGAAAGAATGAGTCATGTTGGCTTTCACAAAAAGGCGCATGTGAGCGCTAATGAACATTAATGAAGCTGCCGTGCAAACAGATCCCATTTCCCCACAGGTTTAGTGTTTGCTGAAACCAGATCGGTGCACGTGAGCCATGGACGACAGCCCACTGAAACAGCAGCTGCGCTCTCTTATGAGGTGTGTGCTCAGTTATCACACCTCATACAAGTGCAGTTATCACACCTCATACTCGCTGGCCTCCGTCAGTACTCTCCAGATGGATAAGAGCGTCATCAAATTCAACCACTGTGACAAGGACATCTACTGTTTCTTCGTCCCGGATCAGTGTCCTGAATGTGGCGTTAGCTTCAGTGGGAAGCGGCTGGAGGAAGCGCCGGTCAGCATACCGAACCCCGTCGGCAACGGACACAAAGCCCCGTGCGCTTTTCTAGTGGCGTCCACAGAGGACAGTGTGCTCAGGTAGGACCGTCAGCTGAAGCTGCTAGAGAAGGACATGTCCTCATATAGAGATGAAACTGAGGTGACATAAATGCAGCTGGTTTTTGCAGGGACTTTGATGGCCGCTCTGATCTACACACGGGAATCAGCAACACAAACGGTACTGTACTGAGTCTGACAAACATCAGAGTCCTTTTAACAGGAAAATAATGTAAGAGTGTAACTAAGTTACATGAACAGGTAAAAGATGTGTTTTACAAGGCATGCACTTTTTGTAAGAAATGTCCCCTTTTTATTTACAGTAAGAGTTTCCCTGTAGTTGATATTTTATTTAAATAGGTATGTTTCTCATGCCACCCTGTAATGCCTGAAACCGTCATTGTAATTCAAGTCAGGTTCTTATACCCACAGATTTTTATTTTACAGCAAATTTAACAGAAATTTGTTTTTGTTAGTTTCAGTTTTCTTATCATCAGGGTTATTATAATTAATTCAAACTGAATCTAAACCTAAACCAATAAATAAATAAAAATAAATGTTAACTGAAAGAAAATATTAAAAGCTTTTTTTAGTGCTGTCAAACGATTAATCGCGATTAATCGCATCCAAAAAATAA